CAGGGTCCCGAACGGGGGTCAGGCCGTTTTCCGCCAGCATAATGAACGGGTCCCACGCACCTGGAACCGTTGGTTTCAGCCCATACTCTTCCTGTGCCACCTGTGTCCCGCCCTGGCAGTTGGCCGCCCCATTTTGGTTCGGTGTACAGCCTCTCCCCTTCCCCTCTCCTCCCCGTCAGCTGTTTGGCTCGTGAGCACCTGCCTCGCACATTCTCTCGAGCTGCACCTCCCGTGCCATCCACCCGACCAAGTGATGGCGCCCAAGTTCTCGAAGCCTCTGCCGACGCCGTGGCACGCCAAGACGTGCGCCGCGGGGGAGGCACCAACCTCCAAAGCAAGGCCGACGCAGCGCCCAGTCCAGCAGGTAAGCTTGTCGGAGAGCGAAGGCGAAGAGTACGACATGATGTCCGAGGCGGCGACCTTTCGGACGGCGCCGGCGGTGCACGCGGAATCAGCGGCCCCCGCTGAGGACGCCGATGGAGGCGGCGGTGCGGGGGCCGCCCCCAGTGCCGCCGCCTCCGACGGCGCCTCGGCGATGCCTGCATCGGCGGTGGTGCCAGTGACGTCGGCCGCCCTGGCAGCGGCAGCCACGTATGCCGACTTCACCACAGAGCAGCGGCGTGGGCTGGACGCGCTCACCCTCGCGCTCCACAACCTTCAGCTGAGGGGGCATGCTGCGGGTGGCCGTGGCGGCCGCGGGGCGCGCAGCACAGCCGACGGCAAGCGCGCCGTGGACGACGGGACCGCCAGCGAGGCCCCGAGTGCTGCGACCACGGGCGCCCTCAGCGGCCACGGGGGCAAGCGCCACCGCCGACGCAGCAACAAAGCCGTCTACGGCCAGGCCCCCCAGTCGAGCGACGGCACACCAGCCGCGCTCGAAGACATAGAGATGATGACGGAGGGGGACTACGCTGAGGCGGGCTACGTCCACTGCGTGGGCGCATATTGGGTCCCGCCGCACCGCCTGGGCTGGTGTCGGAGGTGCACGGCGCTGGGCGACTGGAAGATCATGGCGGTGGAGTACGTGGACGAGCTCAGCTGCGCGGAGATGCGCCGCTATGCGGAGGCCAAGGAGAACAACGAGAAATACCCCGATCTGAGGAGGGGTAAAGAGGGGCAGTACAAGCTGTACATGTGCTCGAACTGCGTGGCGACGACAGAGGGCATCTCCGAGCACGAGGCCGTGACGCGCGCTGCGCGCGCGAACAAGGGCCCAGGCTCCATCGACCATGCCGCCAAGCGGGTGGCGAAGTTCCGTGCGAGCTTCGACGACATCAAGGAGGGCATGGACGTCCTAGTGGGGTTCGCGCTCTCAGAGGAAGGCTTGCTTGCCCTGCGGAGGTCAACGGAAGGCGCGGGGGTGGGCATCGACCCCGAGAGCACAGGCGCCCCTCCAGCCACAGAAGAAGTGGCGAGGGAGGTGGGCCGCCCAAGGGCGAGGGAGGCGGGGGTGGTGCCAGGGCCGCCCCGCGCGCCACCCCCGCCCCTCGAGGAAGAACCTCCCAGTGATGAGGAGAACGACCCTCGGCCCGACGTGGGCGCGGAGGACGAGGGGCTCCAGCTGACCGAGGCCCAGACCGTGAAGGAGGTGACGGACATCGAGCCCTTGCTGCGGCTCGGCCTATCCAAGAAGTCGCTGAAGCGCATGGCGCGGGCCTATGGCGTCCTCAAATTCGAGACCATGCGCACCCACATGCTGGGCGGCCCGGGGGCCATCCTGGAGAAGAAGGCGGACATGGTGAGGGGCGCCGGGGCGCAGGGCGGAGCCCAGAAGTGGCTCGACGCGCTGGGCGATGAGGCGGAGATGGATGTTGGAAGGCTGAAGAGGGGTGTCCTGGAAGCCTCGGGGATCGCAGATGCCCACCTGGGACACAAACGTGCCTGGAAGGAGGTGTGCCAGGGCAACGCCGCGGCGCAGGAGGCCTACCGCCGCATGGGCGACTACACAGACCAGTTCTACCGTGATAAGGGCTTCACGTTCAACATGTACTACAAATGCGCGGCCAACAAGACCTGGGATAATCCCAGGGGATGCTGTTCGGTGATCCGCTCGGATCGCTGGTCACAGCTGCTCTCGCGCGCCCAGGAGGCAGCGGGAGAGACGGGCCAGCGCTGGTACTGCCACTGCGGGTCGCGCTACCCAACCCCCTACGGAGTCTGCATCGAGTTCATAGAGGAGGAGGCGAACCCGCAACGCGCGTACTACATGCACGCGGAACATCCCGAGGAGGACATCCGCGACCTGAAGGTCCTGCTGCGCTACGACGAGCGCAAGGAGGAGGGGATCACAATGCTCGACGCGGTGGACCTTCTGAAACACCTGCCCAAGGTTGAGCCGATGGCGGTTGGCACCGTCTTCAAGCGCTATGCCCCGCACCAGGCACAGTGGGAGGGCCACTGTGTGCTGATGGAGGGGCTCACCTGGGAGAGCTGGCCCACGTTCGAGTGGACCGACCTCTGCGCGCAGGTCGCCTGGGGACTGAACGACCCTGAATGGGCGGGCTACAGCAAGAAGGCGCGGAACAAAGCCAAGAGGGAGCGCCTGGAGATGGCGCGCAGGGAATTGGCGCACTACGAGCGCCGCCACAACCTGAAGGAGGGCAGCCTCTCGGGCGGCGGGGGTGGTACAGGGGTCGCCCCGCGCGCCGCCCCCGTTCGCGACGCCAGCGCCCCGCCGGCGAGCGGGGCCCGAGGCAGCCAGGGCCCGCCGCCACCGCCAGCGGGAGTCCCGCCAGAGGCCGTGGCCATCATGGCCCCCCCGCCGCCGCCGCCGACGGCGCCCCCTGATGCGCCGCCGCCGCCGACGCACCCGCCACCGCAGACGGACGTGCTCCCGCAGCAGGCCCCAAGCGCTGCAGCCCTGAACGTGGCCCTTGGTGAAGACCTTGAGCGCCAGATCTTTGGGCCCTCAGGGCAGGCGGGGGGCAGTGGCGACCTCGGCGGGGAGGTGCGGGCGCTGCCGTCGCAGGTCTTTGCTGCCATCGCGCAGGGAACAGGCCAGCAGGCCTGAGGGATAATGCACAGCAGGTTCCAGGGCCTTGGCAGGCCGCGTGAGGCCATGCCAAATTGTCTACTTGCTACTTTCTATAGTGGGGCGGGCCCACAGCGGCGCCCCCCCCCCCCTCGCGTGGCGGCACCTGTAGCCTTTGCCTAGGCTAGGCGCGAGACTACCTGTTGCCCCACCACCTTGGCTCGCCAACTGGCTTATCATCTCGGCCTCCTCACGCTCACTTGCGCTCGTTGGCCTCGCTGGCGGTGCTGGGGCAGCCCCGTGTACTGCAGCGTCGCCGTCAGGCGCCTGGCCATTTTGGCCTGCCATCCTGGCATCGTCTCGCGCCTTCTTGCGCTTGTAGGCTTGGGTGGCAGTGCTGGGGTCGCCCCGTGTGCTGCTATGCTGCCGCCTGCGCCTTACTTTTTGCTGTAGGGACCAGCTGCCCTCGGCCAAGCGCCAGCTGCTGCATGCACGTCTGACCCGCCCTTGGCTTGCCGTCCAGGCCTTGCCTCGCGTCTTCTCGCGCTAGTCGGCCTGGGTGGCGGTGCTGGGGTCGCCCCGTGTGCTGCTGTGTCGTTGCTGGCGCTTCACTCTGGGCTGTTAGTCCAACTGCCCACGGTGCGAGCGCCTGACGTTGCAAGCATGTCAGACCCGCCCTTTCACCCAGAAGAGGTGCGCGCTACATACGGGCAATGAGGCAGCCACAAGGACGCTCTTCCGTAGGTGGTTGAACCGTGGTTATATGGTGCACGTGACCGCCAGTAGTAGTAGTAGTAGTAGTAGTAGTAGTAGTAGTAGTAGTAGTAGTAGTAGTAGTAGTAGTAGTAGTAGTAGTAGTAGTAGTAGTAGTAGTAGTAGTAGTAGTAGTAGTAGTAGTAGTAGTAGTAGTAGTAGTAGTAGTAGTAGTAGTAGTAGTAGTAGTAGTAGTAGTAGTAGTAGTAGTAGTAGTTAGTAGTAGTAGTAGTAGTAGTAGTAGTAGTAGTAGTAGTAGTAGTAGTAGTAGTAGTAGTAGTAGTAGTAGTAGTAGTAGTAGTAATAGTAGTAGTAGTAGTAGTAGTAGTAGTAGTCGTAGTCGTAGTCGTAGTCGTAGTAGTAGTCCCCCGGAGCGCGCCAAGAGTACCACAAGAGGCCCCCAAGACTGCCCAAAGGGCCCCCGAGACGCCCAAAAAGCGCTCCGAGACGCCGATGATGACACCAAGACGGCCAGCCCAAGAGGCCTCCAAGTGGCCTCCAAGAGGCCTCACAAGAGGGCCCCGAGAGGCCAAAATCATAAATGTTACTATGGTTTTGGAAGGATTTGGGCCTTGTCCCCTGTTCGGCCATCCGATGCTCCAAGACGGCCCAAGAGGCCCCCAAGAGCGCCCCAGGACGGGCCAAGAGGCTTCCAAGAGGGCCCCAAGAGGGTCCCGAGGCCCAAGAGGCGCCCAAGACGGCCCAAGACGGCCCCAAGACGGCCCCAAGAGGGGCTCAAGAGGGGGACCACGAACCGAAACCTCGAGCCTTCCGCCCCAAGAGGGCCACAGGAGGCCCCGAGAGGCACCCAAGAGGCCCCAAGATGCCGCCAAGAGGCCCCCAAGAGGCCCCAGGAGGCTCCCAGGAGGCCCCCCAGAAGGCTTCAAAAATGCCTCCCAGGCGCCCCCGAAAGGCTTCTCAAACGACCCCAAGAGGCCTCCCAAAGAAGCATCTTGACGACGACCCTGTTTGGCCCCAAGAGCAACACAAGATGCCAACGAGAGGCTTCCTCCTCCGCCCATTCCTCCTCCTCCTCCTCCTCCTCCTACTTATCTTCATCGTCCTCCTCTCCTTCTCATCCTCTCCTCCTCCTCCCCTCCCCTTCCCCATCCTCATATTCTTCCTCCTCGGCGGCGCCACAATGGCCCTGGGCCCACGGCGAAGCAATAGCGATCATGCAACATGGGCCGGCGGAATGAGCGAAGCGATTGAATAACCACCATCGCCACCGGCATCGCTTGCATCATCATTATCCTCATTTCTCTTGGGGAGGGGCCTCGGCAGCCGTTCCGCTGAGCGAGGCCTCGATGGCCACCAGGCGTTCCTCCTCCGTCCGCGCGCGCCCCTAGGGAAGCGAAAGGACCAAAGAAGGAGAGAGAGATAAACAATGAGACAGAGAGGGAGGGAGAGAGAGAGCTGGCCAGGATAATGCCGAATCTTGACCTGAAACAAAGGCGTGATCAAAAACATGAGGGTCATATCTATGAGGAGCATCTGGGAATTGGCAGGTGTGGAAGGTGTATCGCGCGCCGCAGTCTACCCGTCGTCTTCTGGATCGCTATGAAAACGTTCTGGAGGGCTATGGAACGAGCTAATTTCATCATATGCAAGCCTGCCTGATGGCCTCCAAACGCTGCGGACAAAAAGCGGCAAGTGCTTTTGTTTGTAGTTTCGGCGTTCGGTGTTTTGTTTCCAATCTCGGCGTCCAGGGCAAAACTTTCTGGCCTCAAGCGATACAACATTTGCCCGCGATGAGACACCGATCCCAAGGATTTGGTAGAGACCTCTACGATCCACGCGGACACAAAACATGATCGACCCACGAACCCGGAAAGGAATATAGAAATATAAGGCATGGCAACGTTTCAAAGACACCTGATTGGGCGACGGGCAAATGCAATGCTGAATGTATCGATCTTGATGTACTGTGCCGAGGGCTGTGCTGTGCTACCCCGTGCTGAACTGCGATGTGCCATGCCGCGAGTGTGCTCTCTCTCTATATATAGCGTGGTGGATCAAGTCCTCCCTGGCATCCGAGTCCTGACCGAACTGATCTGGACCTTAAGCTCGAGCTGCCTGAGCAGATGGCAGCTGCCCCAGAACTAATCAACAGAGGGGACATGCCAGGAGGACGCGCCGCGGAACGTCTCAAGGGACGCGCTAGGCGACGTGCCAGGGGACGTGCCATGGGCACGCACCGCGGGACGTGCCAAGGGGACGCGCTACAGAACGTGCCAATGGACGTGCCGCGGGACGTGCCAGGGGACGTGCCGCGCGACGTGCCAGGTGGACTCGCCACGGAACGCACCAAAGAACGTGCCAAGGTGCAATGTTGAGTGTATCGATCTTAATGTACAATGCCGACGGCTGTGATGTGCTGGGCCGTGCTGAACTGCGATGTGCCATGCCGCGATTGTGCTCTATATATAGCGTTGTTAATCGAGTCCTCCCTGGCATCCGAGTCCTGACCGAACTGATCTGGATATTAAGCTCGAGCTGCCTGAGCAGATGGTAGCTGCACCAGAACTCATCGACAGGGGGATATGCCAGGAGGACGCGCCGCGGAACGTCCCAAGGGACGCGCCAAGCGACGTGCCAGGGGACGTGCCATGGGCACGCACCGCGGGACGTGCCAAGAGGACGCGCTACGGAACGTGCCAATGGACGTGCACCGCGCGACGTGCCAAAGGGACTCGCCACGGGACGCTCCGCGGAACGTGCCAGGCAACATGCCAGGCTGCAATGCTAAGGGTATCGATATTGATGTACATCTGCCGACGGCTGTGCTGTGCCTGGGCGACCTGGACACGTGAAAACACGCGTTTCGCTCAAGACGTTCTCAGCACATCCTCATGCTAGACATCGGCCTGGGCAACCTGGACACGTGCAAACAAGCGTCTCGATCGAGACTTCCTCGACACATCCTCATGCTAGACATCCGCCTGGGCGCCCTGGACACGTGAAAACAAGCCTCTGGTTCGAGACATCCTCAACAAATCCTCATGCTAGACATCTGTCTGGGCAACCTGGAGGCGTGAAACCAAGCGTCTCGCTTGAGACATCCTCAAGACCTGGGCACGTAAAAACAAGCATTTCACTTGAGAGATCGTCTGAATTCAGGCCCCCAGGAGAGGACAATATATAACACAAAACAAGCGTTTCGCTCGAGACATCCTCAACAAATTCTGAAAACAAAACAAACGTTTCGCTAGGGACATCCTCAAGTTTTCATTCGCCGGCCCTACGCGACCTGGTTATTTATCGCAAAAGAACTTCGCTGGCCCTACAGCCGTCAGTTCCGGGGGTAAACAGCTAAAAGAGAACCCTGGGCCTGGGCCTGTGCCCTTTCCGGGAAAAATTGTTCGCCCCAGCAGGAGTCTTTTGTGACGCCCCCTCCGGTCGGTTATGCCCGACCCCCTCGGCAGCTGCCCTGGGTAATGACTCTTTGGGGCTTCAAATTCAAGAGTGGCCGCGTATACCTGTGCCTGTGTATCATGTTATAACCGATTATGTAGAATATGTTCTCTTCGGAATTGCATGTAACTAGCTGGGCCACGAGCCGCGCGCCAGGGTCGGCACTCAATATTGGCCTCGTCGCCCTTGTTGTGATTGACGCATGTTGTGCCCATGAGGGCTTTGCCGGCGTCGGACCAACATTCCTCGTTCGCTTTCTTGTAAACGTCGTGCTTCCTACGATGCTCCATCTCCTCCTCCAGAGCTTTTAAAGTGAGTTCTGGATTCGCCCCAAGCGCGTACTTGCTCATCTTCGCGGTGGACCACGCACATGTCTCCCCTAGTAACTGGCCGTGCTCCAGCAACGCTTCCGCATTCCTCGCAGGCCCCTGGAACACTCAGCCAGCCCTGGCGTCGGCGCTCTCAGCAAATCCACTACGCTGGCTGTACGTCCTGTGTGACTAGGCAAATGGAACTCGTGGCAGAATAGAGCGCTCCCCCATCTGGACTCTCACCTCTGCTTCTTCTCTTCGCTCTCGCTGAACCCCCCCCGGCCCTCGAATACTTGCCCCGCGTCCGAGTGCCGCGTGACTCTGCGCGGGCATGAAATCCGTTTTGGCCTACTAGAGCTCCCTAGTGGCATTGGGCGGGGGGCGCCGTCATCCTCCCTGGCCCCAAAAAACGCAAGACCATCCCCGCCTTCATCCTGTTCGAACCTGGCCCCGTTCATTTCCACTGTCTCGCCCGGCTCGCTCCACTGCGCTTTCGGGTTGCGGGCTCTGGAAGAGCGCGGAAATTGGTCGTTGGTCGTCATCTGGTTAACTGGGCCCTCGAGTTTAGCTCGACGCAGCGCTCGAGGCATGCCTCTGATCTCTTCGCCTGGCCTCCTCCAGTCAACGCAATGCCGATGCTGGCCATGACTTCCGGCGCAGTGGCCCCTTGCTACGCAGGGGCCGCTCGGCGCGATCCAAGCGGGCATCTCTATCATGACGCCCTCCCCGTTTGCAACCTGCCGCGGGCCATGGCGGCGCAGGTCGCCCTCGCGCGCGCTCGCGTTCTCGCGCTTCGACAGTCGCTGCGTTGGCGACGCGGTCCAGCGAGGCCCCGGGCGTTCGAGGAGATGGCGCCGCCCATTCTTGAATCTCGCGCAATTCCAGCGCAAGTATGAAGTGCATAATCCCGTTCCCCCCAAAAATCCCCATCGTCTGTTCCAGCCCAGGCTTGCTCGAAAAAAAAGCTTGTAACCTGCTGCAGGCTGGGCGCGCTGGACCTACGATCAACGGGGAACCAGCTTTGCTCTGCTAATTGGTTTCGCTTTGTTCGCGCGTCGCCGCGCAGTTGAACTCTCGCGGGCGTCCATGTTCATCGCGCATGAACATGCCCCTGGCTAACCATGGCATGGGCTCCGTGTTCTCCGCCATGCCAATGGCCCAGACTGGCGAGCCTCGGAAACGCGTGACTGCGCGTCGCGCTGGCGTTCGCCGCATGACCTCGCGGCTCGTCGGTGTCCAAGCCCATCGCTTGTAATCCGATGCGCGTCTCATCGGTGATTATATTGTCCGGCTAATGGTCTGCGCGCTCGGGTGCGTTTACTGCCGTGTTCTCGTCGCTGGGCCCTCCGCCCTCTCCGACTTCTGGACTCCCATGCGGTTCCTCTTCTTCCTCGTCTCCTTCCTCTCTGACTGCCCTGGTCCTCTCGTCGCCCCCTGGGTCCCGCGCCGTGCTTCTGGCTGCCTCTCGGAGCGGGGTCACAATGGCTGGTCGTTCATGGCCATCGCCTCCAGTGACGACGCAGCGCAGTCTATCCTGTCCAAGTGCCTCGTAATTTCCTCTCGCCCATATCTGCCCCATCGACGATGATATCCTCCATCCCACCAGCTTCCTGATGCATTACATGCACTCGTCTGTCACCGCTCAATCGCCCGGGGGACGTGATCCCGTGTCTCTACGCGCGTGCATTCTGGTTTGAGGTTCGCCACGTCGTCGACTGGCTAACTCGTCGTTGACGACCGTTCCGTCTACGAACGGAACCTTGCAATCCCTGTCCAACCGGGAACTGCCGAACTCCATCCTCATCTAAGCTGCTGCGAATCTCCCTTGGAAGTTCGGGTCGTCTTGTCTTTCGAGCCACTCGATATCGCGTTCTCGACATTCTGCTCGATTATGACTATAACTTTGCGCCGAAAACAACCCGGCGCAATTCCCATGGCCGCGCGCCCCGACTGCGTCGCTGCGTTCCTCGAGCCGCTGAGCGACCGGGCACTTGCAGCTAAACTTTTACTGGGCGCCGCCATCGGTGAGATCACTCAGGCTCTAACCTCCGCGCCGGGCGTCGTCGGGTCTGGTTGCCGGGGCAACTCTGTCGCGTTGTCGACGCCGCCTGAATTCCACTCCTCCTCGTCGTGCCCGATGTGCCCGAGCGCGTGAAACTTGATGGCGCCCTCTGGGGTTCCTGCGATAGACTCCTGGCCGGTTTCATGCTGCCCCGGAAATGCGCCGCTCTCCCTCCTTGATTTGTGACGTCGTCGCCCTTGTTTTGTGGCTGGATTTTCAAATGCGCGGCGCGTTCTCCAAACTCGGGCAACGATTTGCGTACTTTCCGCCGTCGGCGCCGTTCGCGGGCCGCCCTGCCATCCGCGTCTACCGCGAGCTCGTCGATGACAGCGGGCGCATGGGCCCATGGCCAAGGTGGACAGGCATGCTCTTCACCGAATTCCATCTCGTATATTTGTCGGCCAAAGCACTCTCTACAGTCCCACTTTGACCTTTTTTCCTGTTCTGTCTGCCCATTCGACTACGTCATTGACTTTGGGAGTCTCCGACCGGACCAACTACTACTCCTACGTCGAGGTCGCGCGAGGCTTCGACCGCTCC